TAAGGAGAGGAATCATGGAAGGTTCATAACTGGGTACAACTAATGATGGAATAAAGTTGAGCTATGGAAAGTACACATTGAATATCAGGAAATGTTTCCTGGTAGTGAAATTAATCCTCTGGAAACTGAAGTTTTGCCATTGATTTCCGTGGGGCCAGCATTTCACCCCCAACTTCCTTTTAAAATTAGGCTGGGCAAAGCACTACTCAAGGGAAATTTCTGCATGGATGGAGTGGGGGGAATGCAGTGAGTGAAAGAAGAATGAATCTTCATTTCTGGGGCTACAAAGTCAGTAGATCAAGTACTTGTGACAGCGTTTGCTCAGACAACTGTGAACTTAGAGACTGATGCCCTCTCTGTGCTGACATTTGAAATCTAGGACTTATCAGGGGCTAAAACAGGGAAATGCACAAAAGCCTTCATAACCTGCTTCCCAAGGCAAGTCCTGAGGAGTCATTAACAACTAACCTCCTGAGTAGAAGCACTGTGAGCACATGGTATCTAAGCCATGGCACTGCCTTCCTTTTCACTTCCAGGTGCAATTCTAGTTGCTGTTAATCTCTAATGCCCCAGTGGACTCCATGTTACCTGAGACGCCTTCTCTCACCTGATCTTTCATTGTAGCAGTTACTGTTGACAAACAGGCTGTTGTTACTTCTCTCACTGGTAGCCAGACTTTTCTCTGGCAAATATGTGCTCCTGCCGGGCCCACCACAGCCTGAGTCTGGTTGAGCTCTACTGCTTGATATAAAAGGGATTTATTTGGTTTAGATTTTGTTTGATTCTTCCACCTGCTCCCATTCACAATTGCATGGTATGTACTGTAGTCAGCTTTGTAAATAAGCTTCTAGCTGCTACAGCAAATGAGTACTCTATGCAAATCAAGTAAATAAACCACATAAATGTCCCATGCTAGTGGCTTTTGATATCAACTGGATTTTGAAATGTACTTTGAGGTGCTGATTCGGCAAAGCACTTAAGAAGTTTCACTGAAGTAAATAGGATTTAAGCACGTTTAAAGGTTATTGTGTGCTTAAGTGTTTGCAGAATCAGGATCTAAAAGAATAGATTATATATACCCCAGCCCGCTGCTCTCTCCCAGTCCCCAATCACTCATCCCCTTGAAGAGACACACTTGAGTCAAATTGGGCCTAAGATATTTGTAAATAAAGTTTTCAAATCCAAAAGCCAATGGAAGTGCTGGTATTAAATAGAAATCCAGTGGGAATGTTTCTCTGCTTTGTTTCCAATGCAAACATAGCAGTGTTGTGCTAATGCATGACAGCCACAAAATGAAATGGAGAAGAATTGATTTCAGTATAATCAAAGTGAACCCAGGTAAAACTGCAAAAAGGAAATAGAACAAAAAGTGATGTTTTTAAAAAAAAATTTAGATTCCCTCAATTTTAAGTATCTAAGGCTACGTCTAGACTGCAAGCCTCTTTCAAAAGAGGCTTTTTCGAAAGATACTTTTGAAAAAGCCTCTTTCGAAAAAGAGTGTCTAGACTACAATCAGTACTTTCAAAAAAGCAAGCCGCTTTTTTTAAGGAGAGCACCCAGGCAGTCTAGATGCTCTCTTTTGAAAAAGCAGTTTGCATTACATAGCACCTTTTTTCGAAAGAGCACTTTCGAAAAAGTCGTTCTTCCTCATAAAACGAGGTTTTCCACGGTCGAAAAAACTGCTGCGTTCTTTCGATTTGCTTTTGAAAGAATGTGGTAGCAGTCTAGACGCAGGTAAAGATTTTTCGAAAAAAGGCCACTTTTTTCCAAAAATCCTTGTAGTCTAGATACACCGTAAGGTGTTAATAGTAAGGTTGGAAAAGAAATTCAGTTTTAAAAACTGTGACTAATAACTTGACAGGTTTTTCTTTATGCTCTAGTGTGCGCGTCTTTCTTTTTTCTTCTTTCCTCTTAATACTACTAATTAATAATTTAACAATTAATAACAATGACATGCTGATTCAGTGGTGGAAGATTGCATTGTAAAACTCTGAAATGTCCAAAAATTACAAAGAAATACAAAAAGAAGAGACCCACAGAAAATAAACAGTAAAAAGCATTTGGTTGAACCAATTGGAAATGAGCAGGAACTGTGGAAGATTAAAAAGTAGTTTTTATTTTCTTTGTCCCTATTCCTCTCACTGTAATGTGTGGATTTCTTCTCTGTGCCTTGGAACTATAACATGTTTAGAAGGTTAAACCTAGTTGCAATTGATCAGCACCTAATTGGATCCACAGGGCAAATGAAATTAATGAAGAAAATGGTTAACTTGTGTCCAGTGAATTTTCTAAATACATGGAATGAACTAAAATGAACTTAGATATACACTAATTTAAAACAGCACAACTTAGCTGTTGTGCTAGGAGCTCTTGGATTCCTCTCCTGGTATAGACGGCTTAATCAGTAACTTAATGGCTGCAAAATGGCTCATTGTACGAATTTAGTGTGCCATTCTTGTTTCAGAGATCCATGGAGATATGTCTCCCTCTGCAAATAAAGGTGATGTAGATCACTCTCAATATCCTGTTCAAACCATGCTTGGGACTGAAGGCTTAGTTAAGATATTAACGGAACAATTTTCCAAGCAACCCTCCAAAATACAGGGTAGTCTCTTCTGGCCCTAGTACTCTCTTCTGGCCTTGGTATCTAGTGATCTGATTCAAAGCTCAC